GGGAACACCCTGGGAAGGGCTGGGAATGCCCCAAAATGGTCTGGGATCCCCAAAACCAACCCGGGAACACCCTGGGAAGGGCTGGGAATGCCCCAGAACCACCCGTGGACCCCCCAGAAGGAGTTTTTTGAGGGAAATCTTGGAGTTTCCGGAGGTTTTGGTGGGAATTGTGGGGTTCCAACGGCTGCTTTCCCAGGGCAAAGGCGTGGGAGGGGCCCGGAAGAAGTTGGACGCCGCCATCCTGGAGGACCGGGACAAACCCTACGCCTGCGACAGTGAGTGCCACCCACCCCAAATCCCGGGATCGGCCAGCCCGGACGTTCCCACTGCCAGGAAAGGGCGGCACTGGAGCTTTTCCCACCGGGAAACCGCCCGGAGCCGAGGGCTGTCCGACCACCGGCCCGGAAAAACGGGGATAAACCTCTCCCAGGCTCCCAAATTCCCTGGGAACCCGCCCCGGGCGTGCGACGTTCCCCAGGATTTGGCCGCGATTCCACGTTTTTTTCCCCTTCCCGGGCTTTTCCACGGCGCTTCCAGCCCGGAATCTTTTCCCAGCCTCGTTTCTCGTTTCCCTTTTCCTTAACTGTTGTTCCTGTCCCGTGGTTTTCCCGCCCTGTGGAGCCCTTCCATGGCTTTTTTTCGGGGATGAGCCCTCCCAGATCCCAGAAAAACCTCCCGTCCTTCCTCCTCCTCCTTCCCGGCGCCCTTGGAATGGGATCTGCTCTCCCCTGAGCCACCTCCCTGCCCGGTGCTTTTCCCGCTTTTCCCTCCATCCCCGGGCGGGATTTGGTGGGAATAAACGGGAATAACCCCCCGTCCCTCTCTCCCAGCGGATCCTGGAGCCGGATGATTTCCTGGACGATTTGGATGACGAGGATTACGAGGAGGACACGCCGAAGAGGAGAGGGAAGGGCAAGGCCAAGGTGAGGATTCCTGGGAAAATCCGCCGGATCTGGGGGGTTCCCCAAATCCCTGAGACCTCCCAGGGCTCCCCCCCTCCATCCCGGGATTGAGGAAAACCGGGATGGGCAGGAAAGCCCCCCCTGGAGCCGGGATAACTCTCCCTAAGGAGCGTTAAACCCCCGGGATTCCTCATGGATCTGCCCCTTCCCAAAGCGGGAAGGGCCCCGGGAGCATCCCCAGGGATTTGTTGTCCCACCCAACGGCCATTCCAGGCCCTTCCCACTGCGTGGTGCTGTTGGATCACTCTGATCCCGGATCCCGGCCTTGGTCCTTCCCACCAAACCCTTGGAGCTCCAAATTTTCCCTGAGCCTCGGCTTTTCCTGCCCTGGATTACCCGGGAATGCCCGAAAATTGCCTGGGAATGCCCGAAAATTGCCT